ATACCGGAGAGGCAGGGTGATGATCGCAAAATTGAACGAAGCGGGCAAGAAGGCGGGAATCCTAATTCGAATCAGCCGAGCAAAGACCCAGTTCATGAGGAATGCTTGGGCGAATGAAAACCAAATTGAAACTGATGGTACAGCTATTAAGTATCATCCCACATCTAACTCCAGCGATCCATGAACCGGAAAAAGACATGAAAGAAGAATTGCGAAGGCGGCAATGAGCAGCGTGGGCGGCACTAGGACCTCCCAAGGAGGTTACTGATCATCTGCCTGACCGCCGGAACTTCGTGCCAAACTGTTCGCTTCCACAGTTCTCCGCGCTCCGCTATGCGGCCGAGACATGGGTGGATAGAACATCCACGTCAAGAGCTTTGACTGTGACTCACAGAGCATTCGAACGCTGTCTTCTAAGGTTCAACCTGTACCTGCAGTATCGAGCTGGACTGCGTCGCTCCAACCTACGCAGCATGTCCCGCCTACGTGATCCGCTGGAGTACGTAACGAAAGCAAGACTGCGATGGGCCGGTCATATCATGAGGTATGGACAAAGAGAACGGTGGCATGGGTTCCTGCAGGACTCTCACGGTCTGGGGAGGGGTTGGGGAGAACTTCTGCACGATGGGGAGATGCGCTTACCGATCACGTAATTCAGCTGCGCATGCTGCTGAACGAAGTCCCTGATCGTCATGCCCACAGACTCTTGAGTCGTCCATGGACCGAAACGAATGGTTTTATGCTGGTGCTTGCACGTAAGTGAAGACGAAGCATATGTAATACATGAATGTTTATTGAGAGCATGAGAAAAGTTTCTTCACACAATCTGGAGGTGGGCTAAACCTGCTGTATTCCGTACAGACCCTGAAAATGGAAGAGAGGATGTTTGGATCTGTTTTCGTCAGAAATCTAGGAGCTCACTTTTGTTCGCAGACTTCGAATCTTGTTTTTTTCGGTCTCAAACACTCGAAGAACACTTCACACAAATCAGTTGCAAACTCTGAACTTCATATTTCCCGTCAAAACAAACACTGGCTAACTTTGAGTGATCATAATCCACTCACGGACAGCACCAGAACATCCAGCTATTTGATTTCTTTCTATATACGACATATGTTCCAGAGAGCATGGCCTCTGGAGTGATTCGCGACCGTCCAAGAAAACTTCAGCTCGTCCCTAAATACTTCTCGATAGGTAATCTAACTTCGAAAGGGCCCTGAGATTTATGACTGGTCGACATCTACAAGCTGTCAAAGACGGAAAATGCAAAAGGTGTTGTGCGTGGGGAAATCTAAAAGCACTGTGCAGCAGTTCAGTTCCTAGGATAGATCTACGTCTCCAACACCAGTAGCTAACCACAGTAGTTTGGAGAGATTCATCGTCATGAACCGAACCTGCGCGTTTTCCATCAGTTGTCCTCGCTGTCCAAACCGTCCCGTCTCTCCTCGTCCACGCCCTCCCAGACAGCCAGACTTCGCGACGTCGCTCGTCCATGCGCGACGACGCCGTCTACCGCGCTACAATTGCGGTCCAAGGCTATAGACGCGAATGCAGCCACAGAGTAGTATCGATCGGTGCCACCGATGTGTGTTGATTGGAATATGGGAGAACTTCTGACATCACTTTGGTGTGTATAGGTTTGCTCTGGCCCCTACGTATGCGGCCGGCAGCGGTCGATCGGTTCCTGTTTGCGACTTGTGTTCGCCTCTATCTGTTCGCGTCTATCTAGAACTGGAACTCCTTCAAAACTGTAGCTCGTCAACGCGCATAATAGTGCGTCACAGCGCATCGACGCGCATAATCGCGAAGTCTGAACGCTGCCTCAGTGAGCAAGAAAGTGGTGCGTGTACACAAGGTCAAGTAGACAACACATGATGTGCAGTGTGAACGCCCCCTACCCCGGCTGTCGACCGGGCAAACACTTCACCCTTCCCCGGCCGGTCGACCGGCCAAATGAGAAACAGTCGGATTTGCACCCGCGCTGGCCGGCGTTGAACTCTGCGCTGCGAGAGATGAGTTCTCCCTGCCCGCCATTCCAGTCTGAAATACTAAAGGGACGGAAAGGGTGTTACTGACGTGCGTGAACCGACAGCGGTTCTGACAGAGGTTTCTCATGCTGCTATATTTCTAGCACAATCTACGGGTGGGAAGTGACCAAAACCGCGTGACATATGTGCTGAAGTATGGAGAAATTGAAAAAGTATGTACGATTCCCATAAGTTCCCCTGCTCTAATCGAAAAACTGACGCACAGTTTGAATTTCTCGCCCCATGGCCGCGTGACGCGGGCATTTGGAATTTCTGGCGCTAATCGCCATTGGTGCGCCGCGCGCGACGGCGCGGCAAACTGCGATTCTCTTTGTCCGTCTCCCCCGTCGACCTACGTTATGCCCATTCATTTTTGAAAGCTGTGAATGTCCTTTCTCCGCCAATGATGCCTGTTATAGCTGATGGAAAAACTGGTCTGGCTGCACTCAAGGGTATGTCCTCGTCACGTGCCTAACTGTACGCTTTTTGCTGCTTTTTCTGCGCTACTGGGTTACTAATCATCTTGTCATGTATGCTTGTGCCCCAGCAACTGTGAAGGCGGGATGGGCCTTCGGAGTTCTGATTGATTGGTTCTGATCCACGCGCGGAACCGCGTAGACTCGTTCTGCTCTATGCGCGTCAAATCGATACTCATTTCTAGCAACCGCACAGCGACCCATGCAATGTTTGAAAGCAATATAAAGCATCCATATCACATACATAATCTTCTGTAGTCGCATTAGCTCCTGTGCTAGTCTCGACGTCGTCTTCTTCCTTGAAAAGGGAGTTTTTATAAGACTTGGGACCTGCACCCCCCAATATTCAGAGAAGAGAGTTCTTACCTCGGGATCAACTGGGTGGTGGAAAAGCTCCTGCATCATGACCTTGCCTTCATGAAGTTTTCTTCGCAGATTGAACAGAAAAGTTTCACTGGCATTTTTGATCTTATAAATCATCTGAAACCAAAAAAAAGTTTGGTAAAGGCCACCCTTGGGATTTAAGAGCTTCTACAACCAATGGTATTGGGGGTGTCCTTGTAAAGCAGGTGTTAAAGACTCACGAAAACATTATGATGGACGTCTGGTTCTCCGGTTACGTGATCTCGTGGCTTAGGCTCAGTGGGGGCAGGACCAGGGCTCTCGATCGTTGTGTCATCGTCGTCGTCAAGGTAACCGTTCAAAATTGGATTATCTTCATCCGTTGGTACTCCTGTAGTGTCGCTATCGCTGCCAGTCTGACCACTATCCTGCATCACAGAGCCTCTGAGAGCCTTGTATCGGTGCTTGGTATAGTTTCCTTCCGAATGGTTCTTCTGTTCCGGGGATGGTATCGTTGTAATTTCAGCCTGTGTCAAGAAGCATGCGAACAGTAATACGATTAATTCAACCTTCATCGGTAAGCAATGGTGTGCAAATGAGACCGATTCCGCTGGTGAACTCTGTGATACTCCTTGATACCAGTAATGATCAACGTGTTTTAGTAGTTCAGCATCTCGCGGTGTAATACGTAATCATTCTATCATTTTCACACCTCACTATAATAGAAAGCGCACATTCTGCCTGAGGTGAAGTGTTCCATGCCCTTCTTCGGTGATGGAGAAGTGGAACGAGGGTGGGGCAGAAAAGCTGAGGGGGCAGCGAGGCTGGGTAACATCCAGTCGGTATCTGACCACTAAAATTTTTGGTGGAGGTCCCGCTGCGGAAGACCAGGGCGCAGGGAAACGAAGGACTGAGTCTGCCCTCGAAGGGAGAGGACATTGGGACGTGTTGACGCCATCATCAGAGGGATTGAGTTCTAGTGTTTCGTAGACCCATCCGCTCTCTGTAGTGTGCGCCTTTAGCGGTTTCTCAACAGAACTCCTCCAACACTGTCTCGCGGAGAGGGCATGAGCCGAAAGTGCCTCACCTTGCTGAGGTCGTTTGCTATGCTCTCCTCGCTCTCTCCCTCTCTCTGTCATTCCTCGGCACATTCCGCTCTCTATCTAGTTCTTACTCTTTTGGTGCAACCTCTCATCAAAGGCAGTGACGGCGGAGGAATTTCGGGGAAATCCTTTCCCTATGAGGAAGATTTCACAGTCTGAAAAATCGCTGCTCCTGTTCCTCGCGCTGTTCATGACAATTCAAAGAACCTCGAAAGTGGATTACCTTTTCAAGTTTGAGGTCCTTTCAAAAGCCATAAAAATATACTCCCTCTGGTACTGCCTACGCGGTGCACATTTCACTACATTGACTCAACAAGCGTGTATCGCTCTCCGCGTTTTAACCCGGGTGGGGTGGGGATGGAGGGAGATGCTCTCACAACATGCATGCTCCTGTGGATCTTATTCTTAGCGGAATGACCTATGGACTGAAGTATTTCTGTGCTGAGCAACGGCTCATTTCATCGTGTTTCTCCCTTCTAATGAACATTTGCCAATGTTCGGTGCTTATCATATTTCTGAAAGCCATTCGTTGGAAATAGGACAG